ATTTCAATTCAGACGATTACCATATCTACTATTGTGGGCAAGAATCTCGCAGAAGAAATGGAGTAGCCCTCATAGTCAACAAAAGAGTGGGAAAAGCTGTACTGGGATACAATCTCAAAAATGATAGAATGATTTCAATGTGAATTCAACACAGACCTTTCAACATCACAGTCATCCAAGTTTATGCACCAACCACCAATGCAGAAGAGGCTGAAACTGACCAATTCTATGAGGACCTACAACACCTTCTAGAACAGACACCAAAGAAAGATGTAGTCCACCCAGATGTCCTGAATTACAATTCCTGTAATTGAATTGGCTGTGATGAATATAGGCTGATGGGGGTTGTGGGCCACAAATATCTGGAACTCCATATACTTGCCAATCTCAATCCTGTACCATACAAAATGAGGTACATGCAGGACAACATATATTAAACGTATAGAAACAGCTATGCAGATTTCTGTTGTCAGAAAACACATCTTTGTCTTGCACAAAACTAACCCTCTTACCAGAGACTCCATACTGTGAAGGAATCTGCCCAACATTTTGTCTTATTATAGGTTTATTTCTGAAATCACTGTGCAGTATTAAGAGTCTAATGTCATGGTGGATTGTTACTACTATTATTAGTTGTGAAAAAAAACATATCCAAGAAAAAAAGATAGGGGAATCATTCCCTTTTCTTATTAATCAACTACACCTTTCAGTTGTAGATGCTTGCTTCCAAAATGCATCGCCTTGTGGACTTTTCCAGCATGTACAGTTACTTGTATAATTTGACCAGAATGCATCATGTTAATGAACTTTACTCAAACGGATCACCTGAAATGCCTCTTGAAATAGCCACTGCTATTGTTACAAAATGGGAAGAAGCCCCAAGCGATCGGAAGATTAAAAAAAATTCTTCTGAAAATAATGAAACAAATATTTCAAATAAAATAAAAATAAATGAAAAATTAATATGGGTATCTTAAGGAGCAGGCGGGATGGCTGCTGTTTCTAACTGTCATTCTAGAAAAAGATCACACCCTTTTTGCCCTGTGTAGCCCTTAAAAGGGGGGAAAAGGGGGGGGTAAATGTATTTCTGCACCTGGAAAGGTTTCTTTTTTTTTTTTGCTAAAGCCTTTCTCCATCTCCTTCTTGAGGTCAGTCAATAAACTTAAACAAAACCCCAAGTAAGACTGAAAACAGCTCCCACAGAAATGCAGACAGAGCCAACTGTATTACCCAGACCACATCCATGCTAATCTCTGTGTACACACCACTAAAGAAAAACAAGCATAGGTTAAGAGACAGCACCGGAGTGTCTCCAATATTTAAGTTGCCAATTTTACTTTTTACTGCTCCTAGATTCTTAGGGCAGTCTGACAGGCAATAAATGAAATATCTCCTCCAGAAGAGATAAAGCTGTAGGAAAAACTTCGTAAGAACTTAAGAACCTAAGAAGAGCCCTGCTGGATCTCACCTTGACCCCACCAGATGCCTCTCGGAGCACACAAGACACCTGTCTCCCGATACCCCTCCCCTGCATCTGGCATTTCCCTTATTTAGTGACTTCACAGCAGACTGTTAGTAAAATGACAGGAAAAATCACTTATTTAAAAGACTGGGAACTGTATCAGACACTAGAAAATACCTTGTATCCATGTGTGGATAAGAGGCACCCTTTCTTTTTCTTACACACTGTCGCACCAGGGTGGCCGTATGGAGGATTTTCGCAAAACGGTGAGTTTTTCCCCCATAGGAACGCATTAAACGTGTTTTAATGCGTTCCTATGGGTTTTTTTGCCCCGCATAGCGACAAATCCGTATAGCAACGATTTTTTTGGAACGGATTATTGTCACTATGCATGGCACCACTGTACCTTGTATCCATGTGTGGATAAGAGGCACCCTTTCTTTTTCTTACACACTGTCGCACCAGGGCGATGGGCAAGCATCAATTAAATGCATGGCAAGGTAAGCCACTTCCCTATTGAGCTCCAATGCTCTACTGCAGTGGATCCCAACCTCGGGTAACTCAAGTGTTCTTGGGCTGCTGTTTCTAGAAAGCTTCACCACCAGATGTGCTGGTCAAGGTTTCTGGACCTTGTAGTCCAAGAATACCTGGGTTACCTAAGGTTGGGAACCATTGCTCTCCAGCACTGCATGGTAGAACTGGGGAATGGTTATCCACACCTGGTCTGTCTTAACAGCGCTGTAAACAGTGCAGGATATATATGGCTCTTTGGTAGATAACAGCAGTACCTTAACTCTGAAAGCTGAAGGCAATTTGAGGGCTTGATGCAACCTTTGCACTTATGACTTTCTACATCTGAGGCCAGAAAGTGGATACTGTTCTAGCTCTTAGGGATGCCTCATCCATCCTGTCCCAACCCAAGCAGCAGTGTGTAAACACGGCTTCAAACCAGTGCATGAAACAAGAAATAGGTTTAAAAAAAAAAACAACTGGTGTTCCTTTTGTTTACTTTGTCACTAAGACTTGGGAGAGCAAAGTTCTAATTCTCACTGAAACTCAGTGGTAATTGTGGGCCAGTGACTGTTTCTGAATAGGACTTAAGTAAAGGTAAAGGTTCCCCTTGACATTTAGTCCGGTCATGTCTGAATCTAGGGCACAATGCTCGTCCCCGTTTCCAAGCCATAGAGCCAGCGTTTGGCCAAACACAGTTTCCGTGGTCATGTGGCCAGCGCGACTAGACACAGAACACCATTACCTTCCCACCGAGGTGGTACCTATTTATCTACTTGCATTTTTACATGCTTTCTGATGGCTCGGTTGCCGGGAGCTGGGATGAGCGATGGGAGCTCACTCTGTCGCATGGATTCGATCTTACAAAGGCAGGTTTTCTGACCTTGCAGCCCAGAGGCTTCTGCAGTTTAACCCACAGTGCCACCACATCCCCATAATAGGACTTACCTCATGGTAATAAATTGTCTCCAATCGTTAAACGTCTTCCCAAATCAGCCACTTCGTTGCACAATCACCTTGGCATTTGTGGGCTCCTCATCTATGTTCACTGGAAGGAGCTCAGCTGCAACACTATGAACTGCATTGTGTGACATTTTACTGGGTAGACAAGTTCTGTTTTTTGTTGTTATGTGATGTGATGTCAAGTCACTTCTGACTTATGTCGACCCCATGAATGAGCACTCTCCAAAATGCCCTGTCCTCAACAGCCCTGCTCAACTCTTGTAAACTCAATCCTGGTTCTTCCTTCATTCCATCTTGTATTGGGTCTTCCTTTTTTCCTTCCGGCTTCCACCTTCCCCAGCATTATTATCTTTTCCAGAAAATCCTGCCTTTTCATAATATGCCCAAAGTGCAACAGCATCAGTGTCAACATTTTTGCCTAATATAATATAAACAGTAATATAAGCAGCCTTCTTTCCCCAGATTTAACAACCGAACATCCTGCTTGTATAAGTGAGGGCTGTACCAAGGTGTTTTTGCTGTCAAAAGCAAAGATCAAGATCACAGCACACGATCATTCCACTCGTGGAAGCCAGCAGGAATGGCTCTCGAATCTTGCTTCCACATTGATGCTAAGGCAGAATCTTCCACTGCACCTTTGATGCAGAGCTCCACCCACCACATTTTGCGAAACAGAGCATTCCACCCACCCACCCCCATTAAGTACTCAGTACTGCCTGATTTGGCCATCCCACGCTAGGACAGGCCTCAATACAAGCCGACTGAAGGTGCAGTCCGATGGTGGTAAAGGAGTGCATCGAATTACACTGGAAAGGGCTGCTTTGCCAGGAGTGATCTCCCTTCAGGAGACTCTTCTGTCCATCAAGTAATCACTCTTGCCTGGCCCCGAAAAGCAGTAGCCCTACAGCTGGGCCAAAATGTTCCAGCTTGGGCGTGGATCAAGGTTGGGCTGAAGTGCTATTCCCCAAAAGTCGTGCAATACACAAGCAGTCCAAAGTGCAAGATATATGCCCATACGATCACATCCTGAGCCTAGTAGTGTGAAGTAGTTCGGAAATAATGCCTATCCTAAAATGTGGCAGGACAGGGAATTATCCATCTTTGCCTGGACCTGCAGTTTTCATACTGAAGGAAATATTGGCATTCTTTACAAATGTATCAGCAGGTGTCAATGAGATCAGTAACAGCATTCATGAGAGACATCAATCTCCACCTAGCTGCATCTGGAAATGGGCAGACTCCTGGGAAACGCTGGGTATGGACAAGTTTCGCTCTCATTTCGTGGAGCGAGGCTGGGGAAACCTGGCCAATGCTCTGAGCGAACGTGTGCTAGACTCTTTTGTGATGAGCAGGAGTCTGTAACAGATGGATGTGACCGCAGGAAAGGGCTGCCCAAAGCTAAAAAGTTTGAAAGCCACCAAGTTCAGCTGCTGAGTCTGAACCTGCAAGATGTCAGCTACATGGTATCTCTTTTTTTTAAAGGTTTGTTTCTGTTGATTTACACAAGACAATGAATCACTTGCAACAGATCTGGTCTCAACCTGCCAAGTTTGTTTTCCACTGACTGGGACAATGTCAGCATGCAGTTGTCTACCTGCAGTATGGAAGGCAAGACTGCTCATGCTATACAGGGGTTGCAGGCAGTTTTCTTGGCCCAGTCTCCCGTCCTTCCCCCGGCCTTATGCATCAGACTCATCGCATCAGCTGCACACCCCAACAATCTGAGAATAACTCCTGCTAGACCATTGTTTTATCTCTAGCAATCTCCTCCCCCAGTCTTGATTTTCGAGCTAGAAGAAGATAGCAGGAAGAGAAAAACCAGGGAGTTAAAGGGTTAAGAAGAGACACCACATGGATGGGCCCACAAGTTCCTCAGGTGGAAGTCTAGCAGATGGCACTGGCTCCTTGACTTCTGCCACTGGAAGCAAAAATGACCTGTATCTTTGGAGAGGAGCGGCAGACATTGCAAACCTTAAGCAAAGCAGAATTAGGATATCCAACTCCCCACCCCCCCAATCCCAAACACACACAAAGCCTCAAGCTTGAGGCCATTAACATGGAAGTCTGTAAGCTAAAAAGGGAACGACCTCCCTCTTTATTTCCTTCTTATCACCTCAGCGATCAAGAACAATATGAAATCCTTTGTTGCAACTGCTCAGAATTAGATGGAAGGAAGAGAACGCAACTCAAGCAGGAACATATGCTTTTAAGGAAGGAATGCCATACTGTGCCATAAAGTAGAAGCGTTGCTTGTGTTATATAAAAATATACCATGCATTCATCCACAGCGTCCAATATGAAAGAGGAATCATTTCAAGTTAATTGGATAAAGGTATGGAAAAGAATCGCTCAGCTGAAGTGGTTATTTAGATCAGAATTCAATAGGCACAGCCTTTGAGAGGTCAGGCAAGGTACAAAAAGACTCCTTCTGGTAGCCATGATATAGACTGTGTTGACTGCACGGTTAGTGCGACACAGCCTCTTATTAGAAAGGTCCAGCTACTACACGTGGCACAGAGAACATATTGTGTGCATGGCCAGTCCATCAATTGCACTGTGATGCTAATCATGTACACTGATATAAGGTGTGATACATTCAAGAGAGCAATATCTCTTTTTTTGGTCTGGGAGGTCTGATGCATGACAGTCATTCAGCCACAGCCTGTCTTTGCTGCCTAATCAATGAGAGCTGGGAGAAAGGCTGAAGCTTCGCATTTGTTCGTAAGGCAGAGATACAGCTGGGACAGCAAGCAAGGTCCAGAAGATACCTGCATGGTCTGCTCAGGCAGAGCTTCTACTTGTGGTGTTTCCCATTTACTGTAAGAAAGGAACATGGTTGGAGACACCCCAACAGAAGGCAAGGCACACCAGGGGAAGAGACTGGTCAAGAAACAGAGATGTCCGGGTGATGGAGGGGCAAGATTTTGCCACTCCCAACTCGATGGGTCAAGGCTGGTTCTCGCACCATCTCCTCTTGCTGCTCCTTGCCTACAGAATGGTGGGCCACCTCTCCAAGGAAGCTGGGTGAAGGAGCAGCTGATATCGGTTCAGTTCCTACGTGGAAGGGTTTGGTTGCGAGGCAGTCACACTGGGGCAACGTAATTCCCGGGGAAAGTGCCAAATTTTTGCGTCCTTCTAGAGACACCTGGTTGAGATACAAAGACAGAAAAACAGGAGAGAGAAAAAAAACACGACGATGAGAGAGGAGATGCCGTTTCCCATTCTGCAGCAGAATACATTTGCTGGTTAGCCTCTTGGCAGCATCTTACAAACTCACCAATAGCTCTTAAGCCCCAATAGCTGTTTCAAGGCTATAAGCATCTCAGTCACCCTGCTGTAGGGGATATGCACCAGAACGTCTTGCCAGGTTGAAACGGCGCAAAGCGTGACCCGCTCATGCTAGAGCCACTGGTGTAATAACCAAAGGAGAGATCCCGGTCTAGTTCCAAAATAAGTTAACTACACTTAAATATGTGGCTATTTGGGTGACAAGGAATGCCAGTTAAGCAGAATTTGCAGCAGAAGAGAGAGCAGCTTCCCTGATTTGTACCTTGAAAAGAGTTGGCTTGTGCACGGCTTGGTCCTTAGAAGGCATAAGCCACCTTCTGGCAACCCAAATCCGTGTTTTTCTGATGCTCTTGTGTCATGGAGCATTTTTTTAAAACTCTTGTGATGGGAGCCTATGTAGATATAGCGAAACACCCTTATCCCACGACATGGCCCCAAAACTGTGCCTTCTCCCATCATCTATGGCTCTACATTGACTCTCAGAAACAAGTGTTTCCTGCCTTTCCCACAAATGCAGACATACCCACAAACCAGCCATCATCACACTGCTGCATCACATCCACTCGGTCTCCTTCATGAAGCTCCAGTTCATCCTCGTTCTGGGGTCTGTATTGATAGAGAGCTTGGTACCTGCAAGGCACAAATCACCATTGAGAGTAAAGCTGCCTCCTTAAAAAAAAAAATCCCAGTGTGCCCTGAAGAATGCTTATTTTAAGAAATGAAAGTTGCTGCATTTTTTTGGAAAGGAAAGCCGTTTTGATTCCATACTTGCATATTGTGCAGGCTGAGCAGATGACAGGCAGTGAACTGTGCTTTGCACATGGAAAAGGAATGTGCCGAGGCAAACACTCTGCCTGTTCTCTTCCTCCTCCCCTCCCGCCCTCTCCCCCATCCTTCCCAACATCTTGAGAATGGGAGAGAGAAGCACTGCAGCTTGGAAATGCTGAGTTTTCTCAGCCCCTTTCAAGCAGGAGCGCGCAAGGCCTGCCAAAGGGCAGCCGAGGCCCAGGTAGAGCAGCCAGCCGCTTCCGCTTCCTTAGGCACCGAGGGAGCCCCTCTGAAAAAGGCCCTTGTTCTGAGCCACAATCCAGACACTGTCCCTGTCTGGCACCCCGGGGGCCTGTCTGCAGCCAGCCCTCCCCCCCTTGGGTCACTTCACAGGGACGGAGGGTCTGGCCAGCTGCCAGCTGAAGCCGAGCTTTCCCTTCAGGGATTCCCCAGCACGGCTCCGTCGGCCAGAAAACTTACGGGGTCCACTGGATGTTGGATGGGGGACCTTCGGAGACGCGTCCAGGGCTGCGTGATTGGGAAGCTTGCGAAGCACCGGACTCTGAGGTCTAGGGATAAAGGAGATGGAAAAAATGAGCTAGGGTGAGAATCACAGCATGCCACCTGAGCCAGGAGTTCAGAAAGCACTTGCTTTAAACCTTGGGGGAAGAGGCAAGAGCAGATGTGACCAGAAAACCTAGACGGATGGTGCCATTTTCTGAATGCTTTGGACACACCGGTTTTGATCAACGATGTGTAGTATCTTGGGACTTGTAAATGAATTGTTATGCATTACTGCTTTTAATATCGCTTTTGTTTACCATTTCTCAGAGAGGCATTTATTTGTTCCTTTTTAATATTCGTTCACTTATTTGTTTTTAAGCTTTAAGTATTGTCTTTTAACGATGTCAGCCGCCTTGAGTTCTTGTTAAAGAGAAAGGCGGGGTGAAAATATTTTAAATAAATAAATAAATGAGGGGAGGAATTTATTTGGATATTTTACTAATGCTGTGGTAAAATAACAAGAAGTGCAAATCTTGCTCCTCTTGAATAAGCAAGCTAGGAACCATAAGGCATTTCGTCCACTCTTTATACTTTAGGGCAGAGAAGGGTTTAAGCAAATGCCTCTACTAAGATTTTTAATGTGTTTCTATTAGATGTTAATTAATGAGTTTTAATTAAGAGGTCTCTGTGACCTCTTAATTTTTTTAAAAAAGTTACATTTCTGCACCATAATTTCCTGCGCCTGCGCACAGAGCTCCAAAGTCTTCACAAGGCAGACACAGCAAAATAAAACTGAGCGAGTTGCATGGATATACCCAGTCTCTGAGAAGCAAGGTAGCTCAGTGGGTGCGGGATGGTTTAAATGTTCTCTCTGGTTTGTCTCAAGGGAAGCCGTTTTCTCACAGGCAGAATTTCGACGTGCCAAAAGCAGGCTTATCATTTCCAACACAGGCCTGTTCCAATCAGTTATAAAGTTGGGATCAGAGTCCAATTTCTACAACAAAAGCAGCACTCAAGCAGAGGATGCTAAAACCTTACTGTGGCTTACCCCATTACAGTCTCTCTTTTAGTGCACCACTTTTCCCACGAAGCTCCAGTGCTGAAAAGCAGTCAGAGTTTTTTTGGGGTGGGTGGGTGGGGGATCTATACAGAGACTATGAGTTAAGCAGCAGGCAGCGGGAGAGCTCACCCCTCCCCCTTTCTCTAGTTTGGATCTCACCCATCCCTCAATTTATGTATTATAGTAGCATAAATCAGGGCTTAAATCTGGGGGTCAGACTTCGTTCTCCTATCATTGGCCTGCAGCTCCCATCCACCCTAATTAGTAGTCATGCTGACCTGGTGGGAGCTGGAGTTTAGCAAACTTTGGAGGAATGCAAGTTCCCCACCTCTGCTTTAAATAACCATCATCTCCTGCTATCATGTGTGCAACAGGATTGCAGGGGAATCGGCTCCAAGCCTGTGATTTCGGTTATCCACTGCTTGAAAATACTGTACTAAATTAAAAAAAATCTAGAAATATGCATTTCCAAGATGTATTACCAGAACTGGCCTGAAACACACATTTCTGGATTCATTTGTCTTTGTTATTTACACTTCTTTCCACCCCCATCAATAAGCTCAAGACCGATCTCTCTTTTGTCCCATTTCATGGTCCCAAAAATCCTGTGATATAGATAAGGCTGCCAGGGGTGAGACTGCTCCAAGGTCACCCAGCGAGTTTCATGCCTTAGCTGGAGACTAGAACTTGGATCTCCTTACAATAAGAATGTTTGATAAAGCAGTTGGATGCCCAAAGTAGGCCAAAATACAGTGGTGCCTCGCTTAACAAGCGCACCGTTTAATGACGAATCTGCATAGCGACACGTTTTTTGTGATCGCTAATGCGATCGCATTGCGATGTTTAGATAGGCCAAAAATCGCATTGCGATGATCGGTAAGTGTTTCGCTTACCGATCTTTGCATTGCAATGTTCTAAAAACAGGGGATCGGCGATTACAAAATGGCCGCCGGAAGAATAAAATGGCCGCCCACTCCATTTTCGCGCCCTGCCCTCGCTTACTGAGGCGGCGAAAATGACGGCCGGATGGGGAATCTTCGCTTACCGGTGAGTTTTCACCCCATAGGAATGCATTAAACGGAGTTCCTCTGGGGTTTTCAGTTCCGTTTAGCGATGTTTCCGGATAGCAACGTTAATCCTGGAACAGATTAACATCGCTATGTGGGGCACCACTGTAATGTAAAAGAATCATCCCTCTACTTTGCATCATTCATACTAATAAAGAACTGTAATTCTCAGTTCTTGTGATTTTTCTGGGCAGAGATCTTCCCTTCCCTTCATCTGAAGGGGAGACAGATCTATTTTCTCTGGAAATTCATTTTTGAGGTTGTTAGAGGCATGCCATGGGGAGCCACCAAGATCCTAGTGCCACAGCATATTAGATGCTGGTACTGAACGTGTGGCTGCAGCCCATCATTTCTGTTTGCTCTGATGACTAGCATAAAGCCAGCCTCAGAAGACAGAAGGGGAACTGTAAATGTCTGCCCATCAAAAAATGCTACAGTAGGATTAAATCCTTGGTTGAAGGCCTGGAACCCACCAACGAGCAAAACCTTGAGCCTTCAGGATCCTTGCAAAAGCTGGCACGTGGTGAGTCCCTACTGCCATTAAGTGGTGAACAAGGATTCGGGATTTTAACAAAAGCAGCCAACCTCTCACCTGCTGTGGGAAGACCAGTCGTGCCTGCAAAGCCGAGGCTGGGTCAGCAGGCTGTGGAGATTCCGGCATCAGGAAGGAGGAAGCAGGCTGCGGGCTGCTGCGGGATGTTTTGAGCGGGTTCGGATTCTGAGCACTGCCTGAGGCCTCTCGAGGCACGCTTTGGGGCCTGCGAGGCCCCGGCTCAGCATGTTGTAACTTGGGAGAGACGGGGAAAGTGAATCCAGAGTGGCTGGAGGAGGATGACCGCAGGTCTGCAGCCGCTGAGGTTGGCAGGCTGGGAGGCGAGGTGTTGGACTGCCCCCTGGCGGTCAGGCTGGGAGAACGCGGCTCGGAAGGCAAGCTGGAACGAGCTCGGAGGCCCGGGGAGGAAGGGAACTCCTTTGAGTTCTTCACTCTCGGCTCCTTCACTACCTGCACGTAGTTGGCTGGGAAAATACCCTGGCGGCTAGTGCCAGAGATACGTCCTTCATACCAGTTTCCATCCACCCTACGGACCAGACAGATGCGCTCACCCTAGCAACAAGAGGAGAGGGAAAACATTTAGCATCCTCCCAAAGCAAAGGACGCCCTAAGGCTGAAACAAAAGCTCAATAAGGGGTTTTCTGCCTCTTCAGAACCAACATGTTCTTTCATGCATTGTAGTCTACATACAGATTACATGGATGGTTCCTACTACTGTACATGGTTCCTACTATGAGAGATTCCTTTCCCCATAGAAAGTTTACAACATGTTAAGCAGCTCAGATTTGACTCATGCTATGCCAAACCTTTAAAAATTTCTATATCTCCTAGAAAATAAAACCATCTGTGACTGTGCTGGGGACATACCATTCGAGAGATTTTAAAAAGGGCTGAGGCAGGATTTGCTCTACATCAAGAGTCCAGACTGTATAACAAACTTTTTCCAACATTGTAAAGTACTTAGAGTTTCAAAAGTTACGAGTTAAAAGTACTTTATGTAGCTTATTACATAACTCCTCCCCAAATGGTTTATTACTTTGTAACATTACCAAAGTGGAAGTGCTATGTTGCTTGTTGCATTGTGTTTTTGTTACTTAAAAGTTTTGTTACTTTTGAAAAAAGAGAGAGAAAGAGATACAAGTAACTTCTTATGAAACAAAGAGTTACAAAGAACATGTTTTCCATGTGAAACATTTTTTCCATGTGAAAAAAATAAATCCTCTAAATACCTTATCATCACCATTACACATTAGCTCAAATCTTATCTGTTTTTTATGCTGGTGCAGTCAGTTCATGTAAATCTTAGTGGTAAATGACTGCTAAGTTAAGAGGTCACTGCAGACATTTTTCTGATGCAGCCAAACTCAGTGTGAAACAGGAAATGTCTATTCCAATGTCTTGTCTTGAAGCATTTTGCCAGTGTGCATTATGTCACACGCGTCACACCAGTGGGTACAACTACTAGGATTTTGGCCACCTTATTACTTTGGTTATAATGCTCTTGTTAAAAAACAAAGGTGTTGTTTGTGAGAGGCAACGATGTTACTTGTAAATCTTTGTTTCCAACGTCTGCACACACTAGAACTGCTGCTATCGCAGTGTTTTATAATGCCTGACCACAAATTTGATTCTCCATCACCCAAATAATAATAAAAAAGCACAACTAAACATCTGACCTTCACATTGCCTGAAACAGCAGTCAGCTGTAATAATTAATTTGGAAAAACAAATAAACACCAGCCTACTTAGAAGACCATATTTCACGATGTTCCTTGTTGGGAGACTTCCACTATCAACCTATCAGTATTCTTTTCTTTTCTAAAAACACTAAGTTTCTAGTTCTCATTGACTGTAAGACTTTGAAGGGGGGGGGACAGGCAGCATCTAACGATTCCAATTCCTGGCAGCTCCTGCCCCCTTCCCTCTCTCCTATTTTCCCACTAATACCTCCACACAAGCCACTTAAGACAGCTCTCTTTTCCTTTCACTGCTCTTTGTAAAATACCACTAAATAAGCAACACAATGTAAAGTTCAGAGTAAAGCAAATAAACTGAGCTAACTTTCTGCTCATGTAAGCAAAACTGCCTGAATGTTATTTGCCTAATTTATCTTTATCATATAACATTTGGGTTTCTTTGATGCAACGATTTCCAGGGGACAGCCCCAAACAAAACTGACTTTACTATTAGACAAGTATGAGGGCAGGCTGCCTACGGCATCAGATTTGGGAGCTACCATCAAAGAAGCAATAAACTGTCCATCATTTGGTTTGTTGCATTTATTTATTTTTTTCTTTATCACCATCGGACCCTGCCATTTGTATCTTCTGACTCAGGCACTAAACATCGTTGGCTGCTCAGTTTATATGAAAGCGAGGCAGACAACCCAACATCTGTTACCAAAAAATAAGCTGGCCCAGAGCCCTGGCCGCAGGAGGAGCAAACTCTGAAGTCCTTGGTCCCTGGGCTCTATCCTGTGCTGGAATTAATTTCTGTGCCAATTAATTGAGCGTCACAGCCTTTTGTTTCAAATTTTCTTGGGTACCTTCCGAAATGACAGCTCCACCGGCAGGTCTCCTTTGAAGTTGTATTGAGCCACAGCATCTCCATATTCCAGGATGTGGATGATGGGGGACTTGATGGGTTTGGGGATCTCGGTTGGAGGCAAGATCTGTTTTTTTTTTTTTTGAGGGGGGACAAAAACAGTCAGAAACATGCCAAGATGAGATATAGCTTTATACTGGGCCATGGGATTCTTCTACATCCCACTTGTGAAAAATTATTTGGGGGTTGTGGTCATATATATATATCTCATGATAAACCAGTTGACCTGGCTGGGCAAAGGCCCAGTCTGCTCAAAAAGGACTGCTTTTCCTCCTTCCCTCCTCTTCTTTCAGTTTCTCCAAAGCTATGCATGAACTGTGCCAGACACCGTTCTGAGACAGTCACAGGAATAATGGAAATGAACTCGTACTAGCTCAGAGTATATCTCCAGGGAATCCATGATTTGATCTGATTGGCAGTCATTTGCCTTCCAGGGTATCAGCCAAACCCTTCCTTCTTAATCCATCACCTGAGTCTTTCAACTGGAGGTGCTGCAATCTTCTCTGTACAAAGCACAGGTTCTACCACCAAACTCTGGTCCCTTCGTCGTTACATATATTAACATTTAAATTAATTTTAGACTATATAAAACTTGGGGAAGGGGCCTGTTTTTTGCTCATCATCATCATCATTAACGTCTTCTGCCATCAAGTTGATCTGGACATATGATTACCCTTTGCTGGATTTTCTAGTTACAGGGTACTCAGAAGTAGTTAACCGTTCCCTTCTTTTTTGGGGGGGGTGTCCTGGGGACTGTACAGCTTTCCCAAGGTTACACAGGCTGGTTCTTCTCAGGGGAGACACAGTGGGGAAGCAAACTCCCAGCCTCTGGCTGGGTACCTAACTTGCTGAGCGATCCAGCCAGCTGTAAGACTGCATAAATCACTGCAAGCAGAAGTGGCAGGTCACACATGGTCTATAGTCCACTGCACCCCCAGCACATTTCTGTGGACTCAAAATCACCCTTTGGCTGCACTGAAAAAAAGGGAAGGGAAGGGAAGGGAAGGAAAGGATGTCAGGTAGGGCATAATGTGTCCCAAGGAGGGTCCAAATTGGTCCCTGGAGCTGTTAAAGTTGCCTGCCACGATATACTCCCAAAGTGATTAATACTCAGCAACCATGTTGACTCGTGTTAGTGTCTACAAATTTGCAACTGTTCTGTTCAAAAACAACTCCAAATGCCATTTGCCTGAGAGAGCAGTTAGCAGAATATTGAGCCCAAAATACTAAAATAGAGAACTTCGTTTTATCAAATCGAAATCTTGTCTCAAGAATCTGTAGTCCTTCCTGCTAACTCTGACTTCAGCTAAAAACTGGTGGGGGTTAGAGGATGTGATCCAATCCTCCAAGAATCTGGGTCACATCCTCTCTCTTTCCCATACTAAGTAAAAATGTCACTAAATCTGCAGATATGGCAGGGTCTTAGAATACTAAGACAAGCTTACCTCTACGTAGTTGGCAGGGAAAATGCCCACCCTGCCGTGATGTTCTCCTTCCAGCCAGTTTCTGTCCACTTCCTTGTGGATGTAAACAATGTCACCTTTCTGCAGTGTCAGCTCTCTAAAAAGTCAAAGGACAAGACCATCAAAGTTGCGCAGCGGACGCCTTTGCAAAAAGCAATAATGTGTTTTGTTTCTTAAAAGTCACTTTTGCAGTTGGACAGATCTCAAAGTTGCTGACTGAGCGCCATTATCAAAGAGGCCAGGACGACCAAAAATAGAACATTTGTCATGGATACAACTGCATTTTAACAGAGCAAAAAATTTCAAACTGTGTTCCAGGAAATCCTCCACAGGGGGACTTTCAGTGTGTTCTAGGACACATTCTCCGAACGAAAGACTGTATTTAAAAGGCCTGGCCAATGCCTCACATGAGCAGAGTCTGTTTCCTACCGCTTGCTTCAAAATTCTCTAGAACCCCCATGGGAAAGCAGGCAGGGCAGGGAGAGGGAGGAAAAGTCCGGTAACATATTCACAGAGGCTCCTTGCTGGACAAGCCAACAGAGAGAACATTTCTTGCAACTACACATTTTATTTACTTCATTGTGCAGGCTTTCAATAACTTCAGTGCAGATTTTGGCAAACCTGAACATCGGAATGAGGCACATGTCACATGCACACCATAACAGTCTTTTAGCCCCCTGCTGGGCTCTGTGCAGAAAGGCTAACCTGACACAGCACCAACTCTGTACAAGGAAGGGTACAAGGCATAGATCTGGAGGTGAACCAACAAAACGTGGAAGACTCACCTTACAGCTCTGAATCAACCAGCAGACACAAACCAAATCTCTCTCTCTCTCTCTCTTTCAAATACTTTCTCAAGGAAGTATTCATAGAATATTTTGCTTCCTTCTTTCCCCAACTACAGTGAAATCATAGTGCACATCACTAAAGAAAAACAACTGCACGTAACTTGATCTCCTCATAATTGCCTTTTGTTCCACCCTCCCTCCTTTCCTTTTGTCTCTCGATTGTTAGATATAGGTAGAAAGGTTAGATAAAGGCACAACAGGTAAGGTCCTGTTGTGGCTGTTTTCCTAAGTTATTCTGTAAAGCACCCTAGGTCAACGATGTTCCGCTAATCAACAACAACTTCTAACCAGCTAACCAACCTTCAACCAACTTCTGCACAACTAACTGTCTCATAACTAGCTACTTTCTGACCTCCAAAACCAAAATCCTAGGAAAACATTGTATCATACACATTAAAAGCTCTTAACGATTGTTACTTACTTTGGAGATTCTGCCTGGAAGTCAAATTTGAGGCGAGCAGCTTTCATCTGGAAGGAAGGGAAAAATGGAATTTAAAAAAAGATATGAAATTAAGGTATCTAGCAGAGAGCCGCTGTGTTTTAAAAAGAAACCTGGGCACCTTGCCAGCCCGGAACAAAGACGGAAAGGAAAAACAAGAAACTAAACAAATAATGACAGAACTGAAAATATTTGGCCTTCAAAAAATGCTTCAAGTCAACAAAGTCCCACTGAGCCATCAGCGACTCTTAGCTAAGAAGGGAAACTGAATTCATAAGAACAAGAATAAACATTCTAAGGACCCTTTTGCAAATTCTTCCCTTACCTTTAGCTTTGTTCATCCCACTCTTTACATACAGATATACATTGTCAGCAATGGTTGATACTGACTGACCAAATTTCTGCACAAATCTGCAGTTCTCCCTTCCAGTAAGGAAACAATTCTGTCTATGTTAGGTACAAGAGAAGTTTATTCTGCTCCGGTCATTCACAACAACCAGTTATGTGTTGTTCTTAAAATAAAATCTGCTCTGCTGGTATCTCATCAAGTTAAAACAAGTTAATGATTTGTTAGCCTAAAGCAACTGTTTATATGAAAATGGCCTGTTACCTGGCTCACAACAGCAAAATATGCTGAAAGGCAAAATGTTGAGAACCCATACTGAGAATTAAGAGATAGCCTAAATTAGTTTTCTAAATAAATCTCCTGCTTCTGTGTTTGATCCGAGTGGAGATTCCCTTCATTCTCTTTTATCCACAAAGACAGATATACCTGCACTCAGAATGATGTTATAACTATTCAAATCTGTCTTTAAAGCAGGTGATGCAGAAACTTTGGCCCTTAACATGTTGATGAACAATTATTCCCATCATGCTTCCGTTTGAATCACAGATTGCGCCGGAGGTGGCTGATGGGAAATGTTATTCAACCATGTCTAGAGGGCTCCCCAGTCCTACCCTAAAACATTCAGGGAACTGTAATTTGGAAAGGGTTTTCTGTTATGGGTCCTGAGAGGCACTGCCTTGGTAAAGAGAATGTCCTTCGGGTTTCGTAGGACAGGGATTGAGCTGTAAGCCATTTTAAGACAGTGCAACACAACAAGAGTGAAAGTCCTTCTGTCACTCCCCTCTTGGAAGAAGCTACGTCTCACCTTCTTCTCATCTTTTTTTGGGGGACTATCCAGGAGGATTTCTGTAGAATCAAGGAAGGGGCTCTGCCCAACATGTCTCAAAGGATCTGTGTGGAAAAGAAAATGAAAAAAAAATAGTGAAGGAAAGACAATCTCCACTGGGAAGGAAGATCAGCAGCGGAAGGAGTTAAATGGGAAAACAGAATCAAAGCTTGGAAAGTTACTTTTAAAAGAGTAAATACAATGGCTTGCTGAAGCTCCAATCATCAAAATCCAGTAATTCTTTGGGACTACTTCTCTACAGAGCTACTCCTTCCATTAAGACCTAGGCCTGTCAGGAAGCACTGGGGCAGTTTGGTTTTTTTAATATATATATATATATATTTACAGCAGGAAACACAGGCCTCAGAAGCCTCCCACATAGTCCCTGTTCCAGGTGAGTGAAATACAGGTGTCTGTAGATGTCTGTCCATGCCTGGGGATTTTTTTTCTTTTTGAGAAGTCTGAGAGTCGGAATGAAAAACCAAAAGGCAAACGGCACACCCTCTAGTCCGCACTCATATAGCTTGTTTTGTTTACACCCGTTCTGCCTCCTCATCCCATGGGGCTGTACCAGTCTGAATAAGGAGCTAGCTGTTTTAGAAGATGCATCTGTCTTTCTCAGTCAAGGCTAGCAAAAGATGTATCCTAATGTTTGAAAGCTATCTTAATGCTTAAACTCTCAGGCCAAGAAGAGTGAGAGAACCGAGCATCCCTCATATAACTAGAGCAACTTGCATCGGTCCCTCTGAAGTTTCACATCTTCACCCAAGCCAGCGGTTAAAGTGTCAGGCCCAGCCGTACCATTCTGGGGCAGAGAGCTGCTCCAGTTGTTCCTGATGATGCCTGGACTTCCTTTCTCCATTTTAGGGCTGGCCAGTCCGTGGCACTGGGCTACGGCCAAGCTTTGACCTGTAGAAGGATGGGTGCTGTGATTCGGCAGCAGGTTCCTAGACCAGAGAAAAAGGCAGTACTTTAAGATTAGAGGATGTTCAGCCTAGTGTACGGGAATGTTAGAATGGGAAATGAGATGCCAGTGATTCAATGGGAGCTTTTGAGTGCATCACCATATATCTCAGTTGGCACTGAGGGAGTCCATCTCCAAGTATATACCTGCCTATCAAGATATGCTGAGAAGGTCCTCCTTTGTGTCACACTATTAGGAAAAATATATTAAGTAAAGACATGGGAAAGGGTCTTCTCTGCTGTGGCGCCCCTGAATTATGGAACGCTCTACCCCGGAGGGCAAGGAGGGAGAGGATAGTGTGATATACATTACAACTAGAGATGGGTGTGGTTCATTTAAGCAGCCTAACAACTGATCCATGGTTCATTGCACCATCGCCTCCAGTGGGCCCCCACTTGGAGGGAGGGCCTGGAGGAGGCAAGGCAGGGTGCTGCCTTTGAGTAGGTGCCCATCGGAGTGGGCAAGGCGCTCAACCGCAGATCAGCTGTTCAGCAAATGAATGAACCATGCTGAACTGCCAAACTGACAGGTCGTGCCCATCTATAATTACAGTGCTGCCTCGCTAGACAGTTACCCTGCATGACAGTTTTTTCGCTAGACACTGACTTTTTACGATCGCTATAGCGATTCGCAAAACAGTGATTCCTATGGGGGAATTTCGCTGGACAAGGTTTGGTCCCTGCTTCACAAACCGATTTTCGCTAGACGACGATTTTGACAGCTCCCTCCGCGCTCACAAAACAGGTGTTTTTGGGACCTAAGCTTCGCAAGACAGTGATTTAAACAGCTGATAGGCGGTTCCCAAAGCGGCTTTTCTATGGCCGATCTTTGCTAGACAACGACGATCCTTCCCCATTGGAACGCATTAAACAGGTTTCACTGCGTTCCAATGGCGAAATGCTTTTCACTAGACAATGATTTCGCTAAACAGCGATTTCAGTGGAACAGATTATCATCGTCTAGCAAGGCACCACTGTATAATGTGATATCTGTTTTGCGGATGGAAGATCCCCAAATAAAAGCTGGTGTGCACATCCAGGATACTGTTCTATGCTTCTGGTTCAGCCAGGTCTCTAATTATTTGAACCAACATGTTGGATGGCCTTGCAAAGCCGCTTTTAAAGACCAGATACCGTGCGGAGCCATCAGCAGTTTTGGGAAGGTGGGGAAAGAGAGAGCAGCTTTCAATGGGAGAATCATGGCAAGGGAGCAAGGATTAACCCATGCATGACCGTCCTGAACCAGTTCCCCCTCCCGTCACATTCCACACTCACAGAAGCACTGAGAACCTACTCGAGGCACACACACATCAGGGACAACACCGACTCTCTACACATTCCACACAGAGAATCCACCCCACCCCACTCAAGGCCCACAAAATCTTATCACAGCTCTTTCAGACAAAAAGAGAAAGCATATCCAACAGCCAGGGAGGGGCAGAGCACAGTTTTCCAGATGTTTTGGGACTAGACCTCCCAGTCTTTCTCACTGTTGGCTCAGTAGCCCACGGCTGACAAGAGCTTCAGCCTAACAACATCTGGAAGAGCACACTTTCCTTGCCCTACAGCAAAAGCATGCTGTTGGAACATGATGGAGAGATTAATCCGTCAAAACAGCAAGCTTCTCACCAGAGAGCAAAACTGTACATCCCTGAAGTCTTCCACAACCAACGTATGTGTTGCTTGACATCCACCAGCTTTCAATCTGGTTTGTAAAAGCGAGCTGTTTTCTTGCCTCTCTGATTTCTATGCCTACAACTCTTCCTTGTGAAAATAAGGAGAAGAGGGATGTCTTCGTCAGAGGCAGAGAAGAGGAGGCCTAGACCTCCAGGTTTTTTTTTCCTTCTCTCCCTCCCTCCTTCTAGCATCTGCTCCCCACTCCCCCATGTGGGTGGTGGGCCTGTCCGTAACCGGCCCCCTCCCCGCCCAGGGCCTCTAGAGCTGTCTTGGCAAGCGGAGGCCAAGTTCAACAGGAAGGACTCAGCCAGCAACAACAACGAAAAACCCTAGCAAGCCATAGTTATTTGCTGAAGTTTAGTGGTTTTTAATTTTTAAAGAGACAGCTTCTCCTCTCAGGCAAGGACAGGGAAGAGAAAGGAAAGTGAGAAGGGCCGGGCTGAGGGCCATGGTAGTAGACAGGAGACCTAAGGAGAGGCACCTCCTGGCTATTGGAGGGGCCAAGTCAAAGATGCTGAGGGTCCCTGAGAAGGAAATGTAAGATATTTTTCTCTCAGCTACTCTCACCAAACTGTGATTTAGCCTCATCACGAAAAACATGTGGTATATAATACTTCTGGTGGAGTCAAGTGGATCTTCATTCAGAAAATGAAAAGGGAGGAAAGGCTGGTGTCTGTCTGTCTGTCTGTCTGTCTGTCTCTCTCTCTCTCTCTATGTGTGTGTCTGGTGTCTGTGTGTGGTTACATAAGAGAACTTTCCAGTGAATTATTCCCCTTCTTAATCAGCAAAGGGCAATGAAGTTCTCCACCTTAGCTGCCAGAAATGCCTCCGGCACCTCTTGGCAAAACTGCAGATTCTGCTCATGTCAAGCTCATGGGATGGTTTTGTAATGGGGAGAACAGGTCATGGGATTAACCTGGAGGGAGCCAGCCGTCTCTTTTCATTTTTGACCCATCAAACCCTTTAAAAGTGTGTGCCAGAGCTTTGGACTCTGAATTTTAACACAAATGTCCAGGTTGGCTCCAGAATTTTTACAGTCTCCAGGGAAGGTACCCTCATGAAACTCCCTTATTCTGGAACAGGCAGGTAGGCAGGCTAAGAATTCTCCTTTTGCAAATTCTTGGGAACTCTGTGCAAAATGCTGTTGGTGCTACTGGGCCAGAACTAGCACTTGGCCCACTGTGACAGTTGCCCTCGGAACTACAATGGTCACAACACAAGTCTGTTGAGACTTCCTGATGCCGATACGGGAATTATTGTGTGTTCTTTGTCATCATGATAGCAACCCTAAAAGGCTTTCAAGGTTATGTAAGATTTTTAAGGAGTGGTTTTATCAGTTACACAGACACACACACACACACCCAACACACCAGACATGACTATCTTTTTAAGGAGTGGTTTTATCAGTTACACACACACACACCAGACATGACTATTCACATCTGAGTAGAAATTCAAAACCAGGTCTCCTGTCCTAGCCCATCATTCTATCCACTACACTACACCACACTGAGGACCTTAAAAATAATATGTTTCCTCCCCCCCACACACAAATAATAAGTGATTCCAATGCAGTATTCTTTACATCCACATTCTCTTGTTGTTGTAGATGGGATTCCTTAACTTTTAGCCAGAGGCAGCTATTAATATCTGAGTATCTGAATCAATGTCAGGAGGGCCCATGATGTGGCACATTGCATTAAGCACCACCTCCTTCCTCCACATCCACAAAGCCGAAGAGGGGGGGCCAGCAACTGATGGTTCCTTGACAGTCCAAGCGATCCCGGTCTTATCTGGCTTCTTTTCCTCCAGGAGCAGGATGTGTACCAGTGTTTGGAGGGTCTCCCATAAGGGCATCAAAAAATGGCTTGGCCAAGGAATGGGTGACCTAACATTCCATGAAAGTGTGCACAGCCGGATCCTTCCGGGGAAATGCTTGTGGAATGCAGCCGGTCATGCGCTGCTCTTCACTTCCACCATCCAGCAAAGGTAAGCTGCTTCTAACCATGGAGGCTTCATTTGGGGATGGCCTTGGAAAGCGGCAAGCCACCCCCACACACACATAACGTCAAGATGAGTTGAAGCTGCGATTGCAGCTTAAAACTCTTTCTCTTCACTTCTTAACACGCTCGCTCTGAGAGCATGTGAAATCAATTTTTGCACGCCTGGGTGGAGTGGAATCCAAAAAACCCTCTGCCCTGGTTCTTAATGCCAAAGCGCCTCCTCCTCCTCCTCCTTCCACCAACT